GGACTCCTGGGTGCTGGGGAGAACTGGGTGCTCAGGGAAGGCCCCAAGCCATTGCCAGGAAAGTGCAGACTCCTGCCTGCAGCATCCTTAGCAGAGGCATCACCTGTGCACTCTGCGCCTGTGTCTGCAGGGGACAGAGCTCCTAGGCACATGCACAGGGAGCTCACGCCTGAGTCTCTAAGAATTTAACAGCCTGGTTACTTCTGGGTGGTGTATTGCAGGTGGCTTTAATGAATGTTTTTATTTGCTTATCTATGTTTTTACTCTTTGTACAATTAAACCAAGTTCCTTTTCTTATATACATTTTTAATAAAGGAAAGTCATTAATGACTCAGCCTTGCATCTCCAGCCCTGTGGAGGGGCAGGCCATGCTGCATGCCGCGCGCCGCCCACACACTCGCCTCGCTCTGGGGACTTTGACCTGGGCTGCTGGCTGGTCATGGCCTGTTCCACCCGGGGGTTGACTGAAGAGGCAGGGCTAGCTACCCCTCTGTGCCTTCCCTGCCCCTCAGCCTGCTCCCCTGCACCCCAGAGACCAGCCTGGCTTGTCTCCCAGGAAGGACTCAGGAGCCAGGTGTGCTCACAGTCAGTGAGCAGCTGCTGACTGCAGGGTCTTGCTGACCGGGAGGAGATGCTCTGAAGCATCAATCCCGACCGAGCACTGTAAGAATATGGAGGAGACGAGCTGCTTGCCCCTGGGAGCTTCTAGTCCGGGTAGAGAGAGTAGACACCCTGCAGACCACGTGAGGAGTGGCAGACAGGAAGGGACAGGCCTTGGATGGTAAGGCTTTGCCTGTGACAGCTATTAGATGAGGGAGGACCCTGGGGCTATACTGCACACATCTTAGTATGGCCGGAGACCGAAGATAGGGTCCTCCTGAGTGAGCTGCTGCAGGCCCCTCTCCAAGCCCAGGGGTGATGGTCTCCTGGGCCGGCATGCTAGCTGGGGTGGCTTTCCCTGAGGAAAGCCTGCGTGAGTCTGCACGCCCACCTGCTGAGTGCAGTGGCTAGCCAGCTGTCAGGGTGCTGCATTTCCTCAAAGATCAAGAAGCCAGGAATTAGACCCACCAGAGCCAGGGTCTGGCCCCAGCCTGTGGCGAGGAGGTAGGATGCACCCTTGAGTGGTCCTGGCTCTTACAGTCACCCAGAGTCCAGACCTCTGAAGAAGCCCAGGACCCAGCAAAGGGGCTGGTTTTGAGCAGAATAGGTTGCCTTGCTCAGACATAAAGGCAGCTGAACAGTCCCTTTTGATGCCTGGGGCTGAGATAAGGCCTGGCAGGCCAGAGTCCCCTGGAGCTGGAGCAGGTTTGCAAACAAGCCTATGTAGCTAGGCTGCCAAGTGACAAGCTGTCTATACCCAGCCCCTGAGGCCTCCCCCCTGAATCTACAGGTGGCCCCCAGAGCATAGGTGGGGCATCACTTCTCTTAAGGACCAAGCCACACCCCTCCTGGCAGGGCCCTCGGGCCTGTAGCAACAGAGCCATGTGGCCTGGGGTGTCGGGTGTGTGTTGTGGGGAGGGGCAGGGGAGCTGCAGGCTAGGGTAGCAGTGCAGCTTTTGCTGCCTTCCCTCAACGTCCCCAGGTGTTTTCTTAGTACACGTGTTGGTGCCCTACGCCTTGCCAGTTCTCCCAAACTTCCTTGCCAGGCCTCAGTTTTCTCCTCTGCAGGGAGCCTGATACTGTGGAACCAACCTGGGTTCTGGACACAGACAAGTGTGGGTTGGAATCCAGGCTCTGTGCTGATTGACTGAGTCAAGCCGGGCAAGCCCCACTCACCTGGGGAGCACTGGTTTCCTGGTCTATGAACAGGAGGCTGTGGTGGTGCCAGCGAGAGGGTGCATGTGAGGTGCTTGGCGCAGCGCCCAGCACAGAGTGAGCACTGAGGTCCGTGTTGTCATTATCAAGCCAGACTTCAAGGTCTTTTCCAGTCCTGCTCATTTCTGAGTGGAAAGGTTAGTACTGAGTTCCAGCAAATTTCATACATCCTCAACGTGGAGGGTTAGCCACGTCCAGGTTAAGAAACAGTATTGGGTTTGACAGAGACAAAAGCTTCCTGTGCGGTCATCGTGTTAGCCCTGGGTGCTCCCACAAGACTGCCTGCAGGAATCCGGACCCGTCCAATGCAGAGCGGGTTTTTCAATCTGTGCAAACGGTGTGCAAGGAGAACAATGGTCCCAGAGGATGACAACCTGGGCATGACCCAGCCCTGCCAACCAGGGCTGGGTCCTAGAGACCCAGTCCTTTTCCTAGAGAAAAGGACTCCACCTCCAGCCAGAGTCAGGGCTTTTCCCAGGATTTCAGTCCTGTCCTTGGCAGGCCCTACAGGACGCTTCCGAGGGAGATACAACACCCTGCCGGGCACAGCGCACTGAGAGCTGTTGAAAGCTGATATGCCAAGAAGGGATGGTTTGCATATTAGGCTCTAGCGTTCTTCTTGCTGCCAAGTGAGCTGAAAGAATGAACCAGCCCAATTAAAGTGACACCTTTCATGGAAGGCAAGGAAACCTGTGTGACTAACCAGAAATGCCCTTGAACATCTGTGAACTCTGCCCAACAGAGGAGGTCTAGCTGGGGTGGCTGAGCCCAGCCCCACCATGCCAGTTCACCCCAGTGGAAAGTGGTCCTTTATGACAGTGATGTCATCACAACCCCAACAAAACATCTTTCAATTACCTCCCTGCTCCCTCGATCAAGAGCTTCCACCATGAGTGCTTAGCCTGAAACTCTTTGGAATGAACCACAAAAGCTTTGGCAGGTCCTTCAAATGGTCTTAAATTATTAGGTTTAAATTTGGTTCAGATCACCCTGATATTGCTTCATTTCAGGCATTGTTTAGCCAATGAGTTAATAGTGTCAGCTGCCATCACCTTTAGGTGAGCAGTCAGACTTTATTTTGTTCCTCTTCCAAGAAAGGGCTGGGGTCCCGGTGGGACATGGTGGAACAGCTCTCTATCCCGGAAGGTCTGGCTCCATCCCACAATACTCCACCAGGCTTGGTCCTGACGACCCAGCTCCCTTGTGATGAGGGATAGGGGTAGTGCCGAGTTTTGAGGTCCCGTCCTGGATATTCTAAGGAGTTGTTCCAAATCATTCAGGACTCTTGTGATCAGAAAAGGTGGAGGAGGTCAGGACTTCACCTTGGTTCTGGAGATTGGAAGCTGATGGACATAATTCCTCTCACGTTTTGGTGACTTACAAGTGATGAACTTCGCTTATGAGAACTTGAGAGATTTCCACAGCTGCCTGGACTTCACCATACCCACTGCCTCCTCTCCATCAGGGATTAGGTTGAGGACAGGAGAAGGGAGAAGCCAGAGCAGGCCTGCTGCCTTTTCTGGGTTGTGTTCCTTCCTTGCCATCACTCTTCAACCCACTCTACCTTGCTTCCTGCCACTGCCTGCTGTCACTAACTGGAGAAGCCACCCATTAGAAAACACCAGACGGGAGCCGCAGGAGGCTGGCCACCTCACTCTGAATCTTCTTGGAAAAGGCTGAGCCCTGCAGGAGCTAGAAAAGGCCATCTTGTCCATCCCTCTGCCTGCAGGTGAGGCTCTCTTGAAAACTCCAAGTGGGCCTTCTGCTGGGCAGGGCTTGACGGGGGCCTGTGCGGCATCCACGTGCAGATACACACCCGGCAGGAGTCCTCCTGCCACTCACACGACATCTCCGAGGTCAGGGAACAGCACTTCCTGAGCTTGGAAGAGAACAAACGTGTCAGGCTGACCTCTGCCCATTTTGCAGTTTTCTCATCATTTTCTCACTCAGCCTTCCTTTCCCAAGGGCCTATAAGTCCTTCCAGAGGGCTGGGCCCAGTGAGCAAGGCTCACTCATGTGGTTTCTGGGACTGAGTATAGGGAAGATGTTGATAGTGCTCTTGTTCCCTGAGCAATGCTCTTACTGCCATGACCCCATTCCCTAGACAATACCGGTGGTGCCAGCTGGCGTCCCTTGGCCAACCTGCCTCCCGCTGGGTCCTGTGTGTGCCCTGAGGCCAGACACTAGCAAGGAAAAGCCCATGTCCAGACTTTCTACCCTCAGACATTCTGTGACTTGGCCATCTGAAGGGGGCACTGTTGTGTCAGTGGTTCCCAAACTATGGTCTTCAGAAACAGTTTTGATCAAATATACCCTTTCATAGAGATTGTGTGCATTGTTAGCTCGGCCAAAGTCCTGCATCATGTGAGGTCAGCCGAAGTTTTCCTAACGCATCTGTGCACCGACCTGCTTCACACTGCACTGCAGGAGCAGCGTTCAGCACCAACAGTTACTGTTGGCTATCAAGATATAAAATACTCTCCAACTGGCAGGTGACTAGCCAAGCCCCTGTCCCCAGTGCCCTCCAGCCATCCAAGCCCCTCTCCCTCAGATCTGCTCCCAATCCAGGATCTGTCTACACTGTCCAATATGGTAACCACTAGCCACATGTGGCTATTTAAATTTCGATTAAATAAAACTGAAAATTCAGTCCCTCCATTGCACTGGCCACATTCCATGTGCTCAGCTGGCACATGTGGCAAGTGCAGTGGCTGTGTATTGAACAGTGCAGAGAAAACATCTATCACTGTAAAAATTAGACGGCAAGTAAGGCCCAGCACCGCAGCCATCAGGACTTTTCTCGGGCTGGTGTCTGTTCTGATTGTGACTGTCATAACAACTAACCTTTTGGAGTAGCACCTGTGTGTTCCCCAGGACACACAGTCTATGCACATTCCCCAGAACTGAAAACCTAACACCTCCAGACCCCGGTATCAACTTACAGCCATGCCTACAAAGTTCGGGGCAAATGACCTTGTTTACGTGAGTATGTCCCTGTGACAGGACTGGGCCCTCCCCGCCATCTTTCCATGAACACAGATGAAAGGATTTTACAACAGACGTGTGTCCCCGCTCACCCTAAAGCCAAGCTCAGGCAGGATGCCAATAGTGAGTCCATCACAACGTTTCCATAAAATGTGGAACATCTGCAATTTCTCTCTAAATAAAAGGCCACACCACTTGTAAACAATTAACTTTTTATAAAAAGACAAATCTACATATTATACACGTCATATGTGGTCACACATGACTTAGTGGTTAGATGGCATTTCCAATTTTTAAAGTCACACCAAGGCGCTCACCCTTCCCTCCCTGGGCCTGCTGCGGGCTGTGGGGCTGCAGGGGTGGTGGACGCCAGGCAAGGCACTGTATAAATAAACGCAAAGGCCGGGAGATTGGGGAGCGTTAGTGTACACCTCTGATCAGAAATGTGGCGATGTCCACAAGAAAAAGTGCCGTGTTTTTCCCACGCCCCTAAGCCAGAGCAGGGCACAGGGCGGAGCTCCTTGGAGGCTAAGGCAGCCAGGCCCTGCCGGACTCTGTCTTCCTTCACATTTCACTGGCTCTAGAACAGTCCCAGGGCTCAGCTGGGAAGGGATGTGGTTCTTTGGGAATAGGATTCACTTAGTGCAACTGTCTTTTAGTGCAGAGCCAGCCCTGGGACTGGTGCTGTGCTCTTCTGAGGTCACTGTCTGTCCGCCTCCGAGCCAGCCAGTGACAGTGACATCCTCTCCAGGCAGCTGGGCTCACAGGGAAAAGCTTGAGGCTGACTCTTCTGAGTCCCCCACCTGACACAGCAGTCTCAGAGCCCCATCTTCCCAGGACACAGGGCCAGCTTTATCCCATGAGACAAAGCCAGACCTGGCCTGCCAGAGGCCCCGAGAGGCCACTGACTCAAAGGGGAGGCCCCACCCCACTTGACAGTGAGGTCACACTGGGCTAAGTCGAGGGGCCCACAGGAGTCCAGTGTCTCTGCTCCACAGCCATCATGCTGCCAGGCCCTGCCTGCCTAGGGTATCCGAGGGGGCCAGGCCCAGCTACGGCACACACGGAATGGCCTGGATGGAGGTCATCCTGACCGGGGGCAGCACGCTGTCCAGCCAGCTGGAGTCCATGTTCTTCAGATCTGTGAAGACACGGTGTAGGCTCAGCCCGATATCCCCTAGAAGATGTGAACAAGGTTGTGTGAGGATGGGGAATGGAGGAATGAGGTGTGCTCCCCCACCCCACACAGCCCTTTCCCCCAGGCCACAGACACGGCCTCTGCTCCCCACACCACAGCAGCGAGCACCCACTCATCCTCAGGCAACCCTCAGGGCATGGGAGCAGTGGCTAGCTCACTAGCTGTGTGCTAGTTCAGGAAGGATGCTGCTGTACCTCATGGCTCCCTGGCCCTGCTCCCAAGGCTTCCCCACCCCCACATGGTTCTTCCTTCTCTAAGGAGCCCTAAGGATCCAGGGGCTTCTTACCGCCAGGACTGTCAATGTCTGACACCTCTTTGCAGCTGAACTCTCCGTACATGGAAGTGGGCTGGGCTCCAGGTTCGTTGAGCAGGTACCCCTTCCCATCCACGCTGGTCGGCTGCCACTCCGACTGCTCGAAAAGCTGGGGACAGAGGAGCAAAAACCGTCAGCCCCCTTCTAGTGCAGACTCACCTGTGACCCTGCCCTCAGTGAGCCAGCTCTTCCAGCTGGATTACACCCTTGGCCGTGTTCACATCCTCAGATGGACACACTCAGGATGAGGGCCTGAGGGGCAGGGGCAGAAGTGCACGCTGGCACTGACCCTGCATTCATTCCCACTCCTCCCACATCCGCCCTCTGGCTCGGCATCTCCAGGACTTCCCTCTCAATCATGTGGGGACACAGCAACTGGAAGTGTGGCTTAAAGCAAAAGGTTAGCATAACAAGTCAAGAAAAGATGACTGAAAAGCTAGAGATAAGGAACTCAGCCCATCTCTCCATTTTCTGGGCAACGGAGCAGAGCCAGGGCACAAGTATGGCAAAAACGTTTTTATATTCAATTTTAAAACTTATCAAAACACCTAGAAGATAATTTGCCAGCTTTCTTTTCTTTATAAGCCACATTATAAGATCCCAAAGGCTGATTATTGGAACCTGATGTGCATTTCCCGGACTAGCAGGGCTGGGGCATGTTAGGGCAAAGGACACAGGCCAGGGCCCAGCGATGGTGGGGCTGACTCACAGAGCTGTCTGAGGCCCCAAGGTTTGCTCGAGGCTAGCCTCTTGGAGACCAGGCCTCCTACCTGCCCACACTGTCCACGGTGTCTGTCCCACCAGCCAACCACGTGAATGTGGCACTTGTGGGACAAGACAAGCAGCGGGGTGACAACAGTAGCGCCGACCCTCTGATTTGGAAGTTCACTGGTTGGTTCTCCCTCTGCTCACTAAGAAACTCTACCTCAAGAGAGTGCCCAGGTAGAGAGGGCCTTTACCTTCATGATGTCATCAGTTAACTTCCCTTCCTCATCCTCATCCGTGGCAGCTGTGGAAGGGACAAGTAGAGAAGTTGGCCAGCGGTCAGCTGCACTCACCCTGCAGTTCCAGCCCACTAAGTCCTTCTGCCCCTGCACACGCACACACACAGCCCTCCCTGCAGACCCGCCTGCCATGAAGACTCCACAATAGGACACTGGCCTGGTGACTCAGCCTCTTAAATTCTGAAGCCAAGCCTCTTCCTACCCCTCACTTCCTTCCTCACCCTCAGACGCTGGCTGCAGAGAAGCATGAGAACCAGCAACCTGCGACCAAAATGCAGCCCCTGAACCCCTCCCTCTCTGTACTAGCCCACCACAGCCCTGCAGCCCAGCCTAAGTGGCCTCCCTAGTGTCCAGGCAGCGTCCTCAGCCCCGTGGGGTAGGGGTGGGCAAGCTCGATGCCAGGGGGAGTTCTGAGCATCTTCTCCCTCAGGACGTGCTTCCCAGGACCCTAACAGGCAGGCAGGCCAGGCCCAGTAGCACCAACCTTCTGAGGCGGAGGGCATGGGTGACACCTGGAAGCTGTACAGGTCACTGGTGCTATCTGGCACAACTTCCAGCGGGATTTGCCAGTCGGGGAGAGTGCTACTGACGACACATGGTGACAGCGCTGGGGAACAGCAAAAGCCACAGGTCACAACTGTGTGCTTTCTTACTTTGCAAGACACCCAGCATCCCCACCCCGCAGCCTGCTCTAACAGGCCACCATCTGCTAGCACCATGCTTTCTAGATCCAAGAGAAAGAGCCCTCCCAGTGGCCTGTGGGTCTCCTGCCAGACCCAGCCCATCTCACCTGGAGTCAGGTCTACATCCAAGTCCTGCCCCACATAGCCCTGAGCAGTGTAGCTGCTGTGGTCGTCAGGCAGAGTGGAGCTGCTGAGTCCGTCAGAGAAGGTATCAGGGCTGGAATCCCCATATGACTGTGGAGGGAGAAAGATGCTTAGGCCCAGGCCTGTCAAAGCACCTCTGCCACTGTGCACCTGACCCATGGGTGACAAAAGGCCAGGCTGCTTAGGACCACACTCACCTTCCTCTTGGCCTTGCTCTTAGCATCTCGGCTAGACTTGGACTTTCTCTCTGTGGAGCAGACAGGCTGTCAGCCTTGGTACAGGCACACCAGCCCCAGCTGACCTTCTTTCACCCTCCCTCCGAGGCCTTTCCAAGGACCCAGAGCCCTTGGGTACCTTTCCTCTGGTTCTTGGTGAGAGGCGGGAGCATCCGGTACACCCGCACTGCAGAGCTGCCCTTGTTCCTGCTCTGGTCCTTCACCTCCTCAATATCTGGCAGGGAGTTCATGGCACAGCGAAAGTTGGCCTTCCACGTCTTGGGATCTGGCTCCTTTTCCCCTGCTTTGTATCGGCCTAGAGGGCAGGAGAGCAAAGACGATCATCAGGACCATGGGCAGAGATCCTCAGCTGCCCTAGCCAAGAAGGAAGAAGGCAAGAGTAGCCCTGAGCTCTCATGCTGCCAGAAACCCACACTGGTCAAACCAGCAGGTGTTCTTCAGGGACGCTTTGAAGGCCCTAGGCCCTGGGCTTCTCCAATGCCCAGGCTTGGCTCCAGCACATCCAGCAGGCCCCAGTGAAGGGCCCAGCCAGCACTGGAGGGCTCATATCTGCAGAAGTGTGTCTCTGTATCCTGGACCACACCTAGTCTTCCTGCTTGGAACACGAATGGCCAGAGAGTAGGGATTGGAGCTTATCTGATATTTCCAAACACAGGAGTGGGCACAGAGTGGGCAGCAAAGAACAGTTTCTACTGATAGGTAGGCTGATGGTTCTGACATGGGCCAAGGGACCCATCCCTCAAGGATAAAGGGAGGCCACCAAGCAGATGGGCCTTGAGACAAGGACCTTAGTCAACATCAAGAAAAAGTAAGACCTGGGTCTCTTTCAGTGCCCTGGCTTACAGCTGCTTTTGCCAGGGGAAAAGCAAATTATTATTCTAGCCAAAAATTATTCTAGCCAAAAAACTCCCTGAAGCCACATTTTCTAAGATTTTGGCTTTACAAATCCCTTTGAGAATTTGCTGAAACGATGGATCCTCTCTCTCGTCTAGAAACACAGGTCTGTCCTTGAACCCCTTCCCAATAATTCTGCACACTATCTCAGGGAGCTCAGGGACCCCATTGAAGAGCCTGTGTTAACATTAGTGCCCCCCTTTGTCTCTTCTCCAGCCCTCCTGGGCCAGAGTCCCAGGCACACACCTGTGTGAATGGCCCAACTCCGGAACAGACAGGCATCCTTGTTGATGTCCCAGCCATGCTTGGCAGCATGCTTCCAAGGGATCTGGAAGATCATCTCTTCCTGAACGACGACACACATACATACAAGGCATGTCAGCTCAGAGACCATAGGTTTTGGGGCTGAGTCTGGGAAGAGGCTGACTTCCCCTTTTTACCCTGACATCTGGCTTGAATTGACCCATTCTAAAACTGGCTTAAACAGTCCGTTCTGTTTCTCTAAGCAGGAGTTTTAGGTTCTAATGAGCTGTGGCACCATCAGCTCAGAAAAGACCTCCCTCTGCCTGTTACAGATTTGCTGGGACCCACACAGAGCATCCTCTCCCACAGCCCTGGTTCTGAAGCTCTGGGATGCTTCTCTCTAGCTTGCAAGCAGCAACATGGAAGAAAGAACTTCTTCCATTAGCAGGGATTGGTCTGGACCACTGGTTCCTATACAAGGTGTCCTGCTCACACCACTGAGGCAGCCCTGGGCCAGACTTGGATGCTGACCACCTGTGTGACTCTGGCACTGTCACTGTACCTCTTTGCCCCTCACAGTTTTCTCTGAAATGAGAAAACATACCTAAAAGAATGTTCTTTGAGAATTAAAATCAAAGCATGTGTGGTGACACAGCTATAAATATAAAGAGTAAGGTCTTACTGTTATTAACTGCTGGTTAATAGCATGGCTCCCTGAGCCTATTCAAATCTTGGCTCTACTGCTTTTTCTGTGATCTTATTATCTACCTCTCACTGCCTCAGTTTCCTAATCTGAAAGTGATCTTAATAGAATCTATCTTACAAGACCATTGTGAGGATTAAATAACACTATATAAGTAACATACTCAGCAGGGGACCAGGTGCATAGTGAGTATTCAGTGAGCGTTAACTATTATAATGAATACTGTTATTGCTATAAACTGTACAGGCTACAGGCTTCTTGGACCAGAGCAACTGGTACAAGATTAATTCTTCCATCCTCTGCTAAGCCAGCCACCTTCCTGCCCAGCAGGGCCTGCTTCCCTATCTCCTATGTGTCCCACGGGAGCCCTGCAGGATGCTGCGTGTGTTGGCAGGGGTCTTCCTCAGGAGAGACCAGAACTCAAGCTCTGCAGATGCTAGGAGAGTCTTGCTCGTGGAGACTGTCTCTCTAGGTGGGTGCCCTGGTCACACCTCAGGAAGGAGACAAGAGTCAGGCAAGCAGAGTCCAGGGCTGGGCCCTGCACACTCCCTACATGTAGGAGACCCACTAGGACACACATCTGCCTGTCCCCTTGTCACTTCTGTTTTTGAGCTGCATCTGAAGCTTTGGTCCCCCAAAAGTAAATGGGAAAAACTCAACGAGTTACACTCACTTTATTAATCCAGATCAACCCTGGGATTTGGTTGGAATTAATCTGCATCTCTAGCCAGGGTCTCATGCGCATTCGAGTGATGGGCATGTTGGCTGTAAAGAGAAGACAGAAAGCTCCAGTTTGGAACCTGTTGAACAGTCCTTGGGCACTGCCCTGCCCCACCCCAAAGCCACTTAGTTACCCTCCACTGCCCTCAGCCAGGTACTAGGGACTACAATCGTGGGGGAGGGGGCTGCAGTTGAATAAAACTGCACTCCAAGTCTTTTGCATATCTTGAGCAAAAACAAAAAACCCTCCAGCCCCTTTCCTCATCCCCTCCCAGCCAGTCCAAGTGACGGCTGCAGGATTTATGTGCAGGAAAAGAGACAAAATATACAGATATCTCAATACCAGAACTTTTCTCTCAAAATTCAAATCATTTGGGAAAGGAAGAGCTTCTTTGGCTTGATGTCAATGAGAAATTTCCCTGACTTGAGTTGTCGCCGCTAGCTGTGCACCTTCCCTAGTGGACACCCCCTCCCTCCCCCATCAGAAGCCATCCTCCGCCTCCCAGACGGCCCCAGTGCCCGCGACGCTAGCCCATCTGGCCCAGTCCCCCGGAGAAGGAGTCCAGGGAACACCTGTGGCGCCTTCTCCTGCAACCCCCTATAGGTCATAATCCCCTCCAGCCACCCGCGGCAGGAAGCCAGCCCTTGCCACCAACACAGGGAGCCCAAAACCTGGGCCTGGGCGCGGAGGTGGGACCTCGAAAGCCGGTGACACTGGGCGCCCACGCGTGGGCGGACACTCGAGTCCGCGGCACGGCGTGTGGATGCGTGCGACAAACGGCCCAGGCCGTCTGCAGGGCCTCGGCGGTTTCGCGCACACGGATCTGCGCCGGCAACCCTGGCCGGGTGGGCGGTCCACACCGCGGCCCGCCCTCCCCGCGCCGCGCTCGCTGCTCCCCGGCGCCCTCCCGAGCCGCGCGGGGCCCCGGCAACGCCGCGCGCCCGCGACTCCGCGGCTGGGGCTTTCGGCCCCCACTTCCTGGTGGCCCGCGCGCCTTTTGTTCGACGCCGCCGGTCCCCCGGGGCGGGCTCACCTCTGCTGCCGGGGCTGCGCGGCGAGGCGGGGGCTGCGGTGCGGGCGCGCGGCGCGCGATTCCGGTGGAAGTGGGAGAGCGCAGAAGATGCCCGGGTCTTGGGCTGCTGCGCACGGCAGGCGCCAGCTGGGCTCGGCTCGGGCTAGCTCTGCTCGGCCGCCAGGCGCACGTCCTGCCTGCTTGGAGGAGAGGCGCGCTCTGCCGGGCCGCGGCGCGGGGAGAAGTCTAAACACTTAGCGGGATTCCCCCGGCCCGGCCCGGGCCCGCCCCCCGGAGCCGCGCGGGCGCCCATTGGCCGGCGCGCCGCGTCATTTCGGGGAAATCAGGCTGTTGTAGCGCTAGCGGCGAAGGGGAAGTACAGGGCGGCCGCTCCGCCCCACGCCCTCCGCAGGCGCCGCCGCCCCGGGGCGGCCGTGGGCCGGCCCCGCGCTCCGCCCCACCCCCACTGTCCCGGAAAGGCCAGTGCGCCCGCGGGCACTCCCCCGACGTGCTCGCTCCTGCGACCGTCGCCTTCCCCTTCCTGGGGGGCGTCGGGGGCGAAGTGGGCTCATCTCTGTCTCCAATGTTGGTGAGGGGTCACCTGAGCATCTGCCGCCCTCTTCGAAGGACACTGGGACTGAATTCTGAAAACCAGCCTGGCTCCCCAAGCCGGCTAATGGAGTGTAAAGACGGGCAGGTTTCAGCCCTCACACTGCCCTGGTCTGGAGGAGGGACGCCCTCCCTACAGGCGGCTCACCTGCCCTGGGGAGGTTGAGACAGAAAGCCTCCAGGGCCGGGGTACTGAGTGGGCTGCTGGATGAGGGGAAACCCCAACCTGGCTGGTGCTGGCAGAGCCGGCCTGGGACTCAGAGCCTCAGTTTCCTCAACTACAAATAACAGTAGCCCTACCTTGCTGGTCTGCAGAGATGAGAAGAGATGATGCTTGCAAAGCACCGTGCCCCACGCAGATAGCATGCTGCATGGCTTCCAGTATCCCTGCCCCATGGTCTAACATCTCCGAGGTGATTCGCCACCCCTATTCCATCTGTATTCCTGAGACCAGCGATCCCCAACCTTTTTGGGACCAGGGACTGGTTTCAAGGTTTCACGGAAGACAGTTTTTTCATGGATGGGGGACGGAGGGGTGGCAGAGCTCTGCAGCCTGGTGGCTAGCAGGCCACGGACCAGTAAGGGCCGGTGCCCCGGGGGTTAGGGACCACAGCCTTATACTGTCCCTGGCTGGCATTAGGGAAAGGGAGAAAGAGAAAGGAGTTCAGAAAAGCCAGGACTGCTGAATGAGGGTAGGGGTCCAGCAGCTCTGGTCCCTCCTAACATTCCTGCATCAGGCCTCCTCCACAGCTTCACTGTGGCCCTTGCATGGGAGCTCCTCCATGGTAGAATTGGTGTCATCTCTGGGCCCCCATGGCTTGGCCCAGAGACTCTGTTCAGCATCTCGGAATTGCTCAGGGATGGCCCAGGCCAAAGGGTTGGAGAACCCAGGTCCCTGGGGGCCCTGTGCTAAGGTCAACAGCTTAACTCCCGTGTTTGAAACTAGTCCTTGTCCCACTTGCAGTTCTAGAGGTTGGGCTGTGCTCATTTTCCATACAGAACTCTGGTCCAGCAGGTGTCTTCCTTGTCTCCCCAAAGCTGCTGACTCAGAATTAAATCATTCTCCCCAGGCATGTAACTCCCCTCACCCCAGCTCTCTCTCCAGGGCAGCACCCCATTGATATAGGCTATAAATAAACACACTAGGGAAGCATTCCATCTGTCAGTCACTCTACTGCCTTTCTACCATGGAGGATATGCGTGTGTTCACCCAGTTCTGCTGCACCAGGATCTGAGTGCTGTGACTAAAGCCACACTTGGGCAAGCAGCCCAGGAGACCCTGCAGGAATGGTCAGAACTACTGACCAGTAGTGGTGGGTCCAGAGCCAGGAGAAGCAAGGAGCCTAGAGAAACTAAGGAAGGAGCCTAGCTGGGCATTAAGCAACATGGAAGGCACTGAGGCCCCAGAATGGAAAGTTGGGAGTTGAGGTACTTTGGCAAACGGGAGTGAGAACCTGCTACAGGGACCAAGACCTTCTAAGCAAGAAGAGCAGAAAACAAGTGACTCCCGAGTCCTGAAATCTGTTCTTGGTGCAACAAATGGATGCTTGTCATGTTCCTGAGAACCTGACTCAGACACTAGAAAATTCAGACTGAGATTAGGGAAAGGAAGTTTGCATCTCTTGTGGCCTGAGAAGTTGACCACAGTGATCCTGTGAAGGCACAGGGGGCTGTAAAAAGTGCTTTGGAACAAAAACTTTAATTCACAGATATTCACCTGTGTGTGTGTATATATACAAAATGAGCATCTCTCCATGTCATGAAATGTACTTCTGCAATATCATTTGTAAAGGGTAAGTGCTATTCTATCATAAGGGTAAATAAAAATTTACCCAATTAATCCCCTATGGTAGGACATTTAGGTTATTTCCATTTTTTCATAATACAGACAACGCTGTTAGCTAAATTATTGCACACATTGATAATTTTTTGCTTAGGAAAAGTTCCCCAGTGTTAGGATTTACCAGTGAAACTATCATTTCCATCTTTGAAGCGTTCTTTGACTTATTGTTAACTTTAGGAATTCTCATTTTATTTTGAAGCCTATAAGAATCTGCTTATCATAATTGGGGGTGCCATATTCCAAATCAGTGAAATAAACCTAAACCATGATTTTGTCATACCCAAAGTATCCAAAGTTTTTATTGTAACTGCTTTTGATGAATCTCATTCTAATAGGTATCACACATTCCCTGTGATGCTAAGCAGAACACATGGCCTCCTCTGTGCTCTTCTTAGTATTTCAGGCCAGCCCTTTTCATCCTCTGACTCAAAGTACTAGTCTTCTCCAATTCCAGCGATCTCCTCTGGGCAGATGGCCTCTAAACCCAAGCACTAGCTGCCTGCTGGACACTCCCCTACAATCCTATCCACAGATTCTCTGACTCACACACACATACAGAACTCTCCACATCCCTCACCCACACCCAGCTTTCCTACTCCTAATCCCCATCCTCTTCCCCCTCTTTGCCTCACCTCTTCCTCTGGGGCTTCCTTTTTTTTTTTGAGACTGAGTCACGCTTTGTTTCCCGGGCTAGAGTGAGTGCTGGGGCTAGAGTGAGTGCTGTGGCGTCAACGTAGCTCACAGCAACCACAAACTCCTGGGCTCAAGCAATCCTCCTGCCTCAGCCTCCCGAGTAGCTAGGACTACAGGCATGCGCCACCATGCCCGGCTAATTTTATATATATATATGTTGGCCAATTAATTTATTTCTATTTATAGTAGAGACGGGGTCTCGCTCTTGCTCAGGCTGGTTTCAAACTCCTGACCTCTAGCAATTCGCCCGCCTCGGGCTCCCAGAGTGCTAGGATTACAAGCGTGAGCCACTGCGCCCAGCCCCTCTGGGGCTTCCTTCCTTGCATCAGGTTATATTCACATTCCAGGACTAGACCGTCCCATCCTACCCTTGGGCCTCCCCCACTACCAGGCCTGCCCAGGACAGTGAGGAAGACAGTGCCTCGCTGGAATAGCGCTCCCTAACATTCGCGTCCACCCCACACTCACATCTCTGCAGTCTTGCCCTGGGGTCCCCTGCCAACCTTCTCTCCCACAGACGGCTCTGCTGCCCTTGGCAGTAACTACAGGGGGGTAGAAAGAGAACACAGGATTTGAGTCTGAAAGCCTAGGTTCTTGTGCTTTTGCCACTTGCTATGTTATATCAGGCAACTTACTGTCCCTCTCTGGGCCTAGGTTTTCTCATCTGTAAAACAGATAATTAATCTCTGTCCATCTCTCCTAATTGTTGTGAAGATGAAATCAGACTATCAAAATCCTTTCCAAACTTTAAAACATTAGTGAAATGAGATGTGTTAACAGGAATACATGAACCTTTCACTGCATTTTCACTCTCTGAATACACTGCGTTTTCTCTTCATGCCTTTGCTCTTTCCATTTGCTCCTCATCCCTGTCTTCCTGTGATACTTAGCAGTACTCACTTCTTTCTCTCAATCTCCCTCTTCCTCACTCCCCTCCCACTTCAATTTCTCCTTTTTTAAGAGATTGACCTGGAGCAAACGCCTGGTCTCTTTGAAGTGCCCCCAAAGCAGCTGACAAAAGGTCCCCTCCTTGGAACTCGTTGGTCCTTAATGCCCATGTGTTGTCTTTTCCCCACATACTACTGTCTGGGTGGTGACTTTCTTCGGAACAAAGTCTACTTTTTTCTGTAAAAAATCTAAGCAGGTTCCTCACTCTCTGCAGCTGGAGGTAGTTGGGGTTTAGCTGAGGATGACACCCACCCTGTTCTGGGTTAAGGTCTCACACTATAAAGTGAATTCCTTGTGCGGCTTCTTCATGTGAGGCCCTGGGGTTTTCTGGGCTGGCAGGGCCTCCTTTGAGGTGACTTCTACAGTTAGGATGCTGGCGGTAAGACCATCGTCATCACATACACGCACCCCTTGTGGGAGCCTCTCCCCTGAGGGACCAAGTCTTATCCTCAGCCCCTTCCCTCAGGCTCTCAGAACACACTGTTTGCCCCCAAGTGGGCTCCACTTAGTCCTGGAGCCCAGGGGCGTTGCTCCCCACCCTCACAGGCCCTGCCTGCTGCAGAGATTCTGCAGCCCTGGCACCCCCAGCAGAGAGCCCAGCACACGGTAGGCACTCACCAGACCCCTGTTACATTCATGTGTTGCCCCCTCCCTCAGGAGTTCGATGTTCCTTCTTTCTCACATTATTAATTCTCTCCGATACAGACATTCATT